ACCAGCAGAGCGGGGGGAAGGTCCATGAGGATTTCCACCGGGTCAAAAAAAAACAAAAAAAAAGGCCCACGTGGAGGTGGGGTCCAAGCCCTCCTCCACACAGGTCCGCGCGGAGGATGGGGGCAATGCCCACCTTCCCGGACAGCATACCCGCGCTCCCGCGCCGCCACGCGGCGTCCTCGGTTACTACCGGCGCGCCATCGCGCAGAGCAACAGAGGCAATGAGTCATGCACGCGCGAGCCGCATGGATCCCCCGCCCCCCATCATAAGAGAGAGAATAAAATAATCGCGGAGAAAAAAACCCGGCTCGCGCGGCTGACAGTCTGACGTCAAACGCATGCAGCTATCGCGTACACTTGAAGACACAGGGGAAAGAACCGAGTATATAGGTTGCGCACACTGCGTGCGTACTATACTATAGGCCGGTTCTACCCCGGGAGCTCCGAGGAGTCGAAACCGGCTCGCGCGGCTGACAGTCTGTATAAAAGTCGCGCGCTGCGTCGTATTGTGACCACTAGAGAGAGCGAACGCGAGTCGCAATGTTGCCAAAAGTAGCCGTGCGCCTAATGTGGCTACAGATCCTGTATCTCCTCACCGTTAACGCTGACGGTGCCGTCGTCAACAATAACAAGAGAAGGGTGGTCGAAGAGAACGATGGAGTCGCGGGGAAAGAGAATATCGAAAATGGAGCCGCGGGGAAAGAGAATAACGAAATGGTAATACGATATCTGCAGAGATACGGGTATTTGAACGAGACGTTCGATAAGTTAGCGAACAGCGAGGATTCATTCGTTCTTCAACACGCAATCAGCTTGTTTCAAGAGTACTACAAATTACCCGTTACCGGCACGATAAACAACGAAACTCTAAACCTGATGAGTAAAGCGCGATGCGGTCTAGGCGACATAGCCAATTTCGGAGAGGAGGGTCAAAGGAAAGAACGTAGGTGGCCGAAAAAACATCTAACGTGGAATTTTCACTTAGCCAACAAGCCGCTCTTGGATACGACTCGGGCGGCGTTCGATATTTGGCAAGCGCATTCGACGCTAACGTTTGAGCGTGACGTGGTAAAGCCAAATTATTCTTCTATCGTGGCGCGCGGCCCATCACACGTTCGTCGAGTCGCGAAACGGTGAAGTTTGCACGAACCCTTTCGACGGTCCCGGCGGCACGCTGGCTCACGCCTTCTATCCCAATGGAGCGCCGGATTACACGTCGGAGATTCACGTCGACAAGACGGAACCGTGGTACATACATTTAGATACGTGTCCAGCGGACAAAGCGTATTTGCTATACTTGTTGACCCATGAAATCGGTCATGCGTTAGGACTAGATCATAGTACCAACAATGCGTCGATAATGTATTCGTTCGCACCAGTAGACCCCCGTCCCGTTGCGCTCAGCAACGAAGACATTTTAAACATACATAATTTGTACGGTGCTACGGATACCGACGTGTTACCGAAAAGGAATCCCATGCCACCACCGTCGCCGCATCCAACACCAAACGCTCCACCGGATCTATGCGCCTTGAAACGCGTCGACGCGATTCTGCTGTTGGAAAGACGAATGTACGTAGCATACGGAAAACATATATGGGCGATCGACATAGATGGAAAGACCTACAGCGAACCTATGCTGCTGTCCAACTACATGCCATTCATTCATTCGAACTTCACGCGCATCTCCGCCGCGTATCAAACGCCATCGGATCATCTGATTCTATTCGTCGACGATAAAATTTACAAAGTCAACTATCCCGACTTCACGCTAGTGTCAACGTGGCCGAGAACGTTTCGAGAATTTGGAATTCCTATGAATGCGAAAATAAACGCTGCCGTAAATACGAATAAAGGAAAATCGTACGTGGTGTACGACGGATATCTCGTCGGTGAGATAGACGACTGCTCCAACAGCATTAGCAAATTTCACACCATCGAGTCCATCTTTCCAGGTATACCGAATGGAGTGACGTCAATCTTCAGATACATCGACGGCAATCTGTATTTCACGACCCGACGACAATTTTACAAATTCAACGAGTTTAAGAAAACTGTACTAACGGCGGGTACGTTCGATCTGCGAATCGTCAACATTATTTGCCCGCGATACGACCTGTTGAAACAATTGCGCGATCTTCTCTATCGAATAGCGCGACCGAGCAATATACTCACTAACGACGACGACGACGACGACGATTACTATTAAGTATCTTTCATCTATCGAATAGCGCGACCGAGCAATATACTCACTAACGACAACGACGATTACTATTAAGGATTTATGTTAAAGGAAAATAAAAAACTAACACACACACATACTCGATTGTACCCGTCTTGTTTATTTATTCACCTCGTCCAAATATAAATAGGGGTACTGCGAAAGAACGCAATATCGTATACTTTATTTCTCGGTACATAGTAAAGATATATAACCGACAAAAGAAGTGCGAGACACGTTACGTATATAGATATAGTGTGCGGTTAGTCAAAGTGATAGGATATACATACACATTACGAGTGTGTCATGCAGCTCGGGCCTGCGGTTGCGGTTGCGGTACGCTTTCTTTTACGCTCCAGCTGCGCATCTTCGGTAATAAACAGATCGCGTGTCTCTCTCACGACTCCGTCAATACGTAGTAGATCGTTCGTCACAGCAGTGATCAACTGTTGCATCATTCGATGTTTGGTATTCATGGTTGACGCAGAATACAAAAATTGCCCTCGCAGCTTGGCGCGTCTCCACCAATTACGCTTATCCACAGCTTTGATATTCTCGACGTTGTATATCTGTATACGAACCAAGTGAGTATCCACCTCTCCCGGTGTTCTCATGATATGCAATTTGCCGTTGCACAGCCTCGTGATATTTTGCGGTATCGACTCCACACCGTGATTCGCGACCGACTCGAACGGCGAGTTCGAGGCAGGGTCGTGCTCGCACGCTTCATTCGCATCCAATGCTGCGGCTACGGGATCCGCTGACACGTTTGCCACGTACCGCCGATAATCGTTGATCCATGCACGATGCGAAGTCTCGGTCATTACACCTTTCATGAGCCGAGCGTGCAACTCCTTCGGAGCGGTGTTTCGGAGAAATAGTTGCATTTCCAGCGTAGGACACGTCGTATTCATTGGACCTTTCGTAATCAACAAGCTGTACACATCCATCAGAGTGTTTCATCGCGTTCCCCTCCCGCATACGTTGCGTGTTTTTGTGTGTCTTTCCACAATTCGTCATGTAACTCGATATCATTGCGATTAGCAGTCGTACATTCCGAGTCGCCGAAAAGGACGAATCCCACACCTCGTTCATAAGGTCGAATAAGGTGATGAATGACGACTCTGTGTAGTTGTCGTCAATATCCGGCACTATGATCTCCGCGAACCCATCATCATCATCTAGCAGTTGTGTTTCCTGTTCGTAACGCATACGAATTAACCCTTGTACAACAAACTAGGTCTTACATCGCCGCTACGAACCTGTACGTTGGACATGATGCTCGGTCGATCGCGATCGATGTATAATGCGACCAACGCCGCTCGTTCGCACTTTTATTCACTTCTTCGACGCCTGTGAGACTCTTGCTATTACATAGGTGTCTGTCTGTCTGTCTAATATGATGAAATAGGTACTCATCGCCTCAAGTTTACCAATTTGTAGGCGGTTACGCAATATCCTTGCAATTAGTGTACGTCTACGGTCAATTATCGCCCCCAAACATCCGTCCATGTGAACGGTATAAATTTATTGTCGGACATACGACATGTATTACCTATTAGGAGTATTATTCATCGCCGCACCTTTTCCCGATTTAGTCGTACGTTATCGCCCCCAAACATCCGTCCATGTGAACGGTATAAATTTATTGTCAGACATACGACATGTATTACCTATTAGGAGTATTATTCATCGCTGCACCCATGCCGCACCTTTTCCGGATTTGTAGACGTTTTACGCAATATTCTGGCGATTAGTCGTCCGTCTGCGGTCAATTATCGCCCCCAAACATCTCTCTCTCTCCCTCGATTGGAACGGATGAGAGTTATTAGTGTCAGGCATACGAGATTTATGAGTAAGAGTATTAATCGCCGGAAATTTTTTTCTGTCAATTTGCATATCGGTACGTCTCCGCTCTGTCTACGACACACAAGTCGCCCGTCGCAGCCATTGTCCCGATTCGATACGTTTACGCAATATCCGTGCGATGAGTCGTCCGTCGCACATCTTGAGTCGAACGGTATAAATTCATTGTTAGGTGCCCGAGATTTCGTTTAAGATTTTTCTTGCTCGCGACGTTGCACGCATGTGCGAAGTGTTTGTAAAAAAGATGGAGCAACTGTATGGTTTGATGGTGATAACTGACACCGTTCGCCGTGAAGTGAATGAATTCGGAAAAATATTGGAGACTCTAGCGACGATCGTGCGAAATATGTATATGGATCTGGACAACCTGAAGAAGAATCTTCCATCGTTTGTAACGATGAACGTTCATTTACACGTGCACGAGAAATCGATAGGTACATTGTAAGTATATAGGATTGTAAGGTACATGCATGGTACATGTCACATACATACTACACTGTGTTGGTTACAGAAGAGACATTCGGAGCTTCATACAGGATATGTCCACTCCCGTGGACGATTACGCGAACAAATTGAAGGAGATATACGAGGAGCTGAAACAAAAAGAAAATAGGACGTCTGCCGAAATGAACGCACAGACGCAGAGTGTGGGGATGCAAAATAGAGACCAAGCACAAGAGATAGAGAGATAGAGAGACAGGAGACGGAGTGTGCAAGTAAACATTAATACGATTAATATGCCTTTTCACGTGTAACATATATTTGTAAACTGGTAAAGTACAATAGTTGAATAAAGGCTGGTGTAAGAATATAGCGAGACAGTATGTATGGAGGAGTAATTAGAGAGTTTAATACCGTTTTATCGTATCCGTTTCATAGTTCATATTGACGTTATCTCTTATTACCACGTTGTCCTCACTCTCTAAAAACTCCTCTATACACTGTCTACAGTGTATCGCCCTTTGCACGTGAACCACTTCCCGTTTGCAGCGTACACAACACATTTTGGTATCCCACTGTAGTCTGTAGAGTCGCGAGGTAATTGAGTGGTATTCAGTTTTTCTGACGTAAGGAGTTACCCCTACAAATGACCGTGCAAGGTAACACTCCTCGCACATCTTCTGCCACGGGTATACCCGTGATACGTAGATCGCTCCGCCAACCGATTGCTTGAAACAGCTACACCGCAGGAGTAAGTGATAACGATTCTCATGATCCTGCGGGCGCGCTCCGTCCATCGGTCCGTCGCTCTCCGTCGAAGGTTTCATCGCTGTATGTGTGTACGGTAGGGCTGGGAGAAAAGGGAGGTTGCTAAGTCTACGTTAAGCGGATCGACGTGAAAGTATCGCAGTGGAGAAAACAACACCTGTTTACCTCAAACGTGTAATCCAGTGAATGTCACGTTTGTTTTATGTTTTCGCACGACGTTACAGCACGACAATTACATTCGACTATGGTGATGACGTTGATGACGATAATGATGCGCACGCGGAAGCTAAGCGACAGACGCAACCGCAAAGATAATCCGAGGGAGGATGAGGAAAGGCGATAAGGAAAAGATGACACGCTTATTTACTTTATACTAAAGTGCTATATTTGCAAGTATAATATGGTTCACAGGTACTACTACAACATATGTGTACGTAATGTATACTACACATGTACCAGTGTATAGGGTTGAAACGACCCTCCGTTGGTGTTAATTTGCGAACCGGACTTCGCTCGCCGGGCAGGAGTTCGCGGCAGAGTCAGGGCACGACAATAATTACGATAGTTTGTCGAAACAATGGATTTATTTAGACACAGATAAATGAGTATTTACACTTCGGCGAGGAGCCGTTTATAACGCGGGTTTACGCGTGCGAAGATGAT